GGTTGGTGCGGGGGTCGTCCTGCTTCGCTATGGGCGTCTGTCGCGACACTTGGGGTATAACTTAGTGCGGGCGGCAGTGCTGAGGGATAGAGCCCCGACGGCAGCGGAGACCGCGCCTTCCGCTCCAGGGAGAGGCGAGGGACGCCCGGCGGGGCCGTCTTGGCCCCGGAGCTCTCCCGCCAGCCCCCGTGCGCAGCCCGAGCCCGCACCGGAGCCTTCGCCTTAATGCATTTCACAGGGGCCGCGACGGGAGAGAAAGAGCTGCGGGAAGAGATGGACGTGCGGAAAGCTGGATAATACCCGAGCTGGGGAGGCCCCGGCGCAATGAAGCGAGGGAGGAATGGAGTCGGGGTGCACCCCTCTGCTGGGGGGTGTTTGTCACCTCGCACCTGCCCGTGATCTCTCTCACTCTCCTTTCAGCAATATAGAGGATTTTATAGGTTCTGGAAAGCACTGCTGGAAGTGCAGTTTTCGGACCGAGCCCGATGGGCTTTGCTGGGATCTTGCCAAGGTCCCAGACACACCACTTTTGTCCCCGGTCCCCTCAGGAGGGCTTGTATTTCGCAGCGGTGTCCCGGCCAGCAGCTGCGAGGCAGAGAGGCAGCTTGCGATGCCAAACTCCCGGGAGCCCCGAGCTGCAAAGGAGCTCAGGGGCCAAGAGGAGCCCCGGCAAGCCGGCAAGCCAGAAGAAAAGGGGAGTGGAGGGTGGAGGTCAGGCCCTGGCTGGGCTGCTTCTCTCTGCTAGCAGGAGGCAGATGCACACGATCAATGAGAGAACCTGAGAAAGGATCCCTGGGCACTTCGTGGGGAGGGAGAGACTTATCCATTAGGAAGAACCCTCATCTCAATTGTTATTTCTTAGCATGAATAAACTGGGCCCTCAATCCTCATCTGAGACAGGATTAAAACAACAGTTTGGAAATTAACTTGTCCCAGAGCTGTTTGGGGTAGATGAAGTGGGACAAAAGTTTCAAGGCTTGCAGGAATATGGATAGTGGCTGTGGATACCTGAAGGAGGTGAGATGGTCTGGAGAAGTGGAAACCAAGGACACTGGGCTTCCTTAATGTATGAATTTTGCAGCAACTTAGTGCATATGTCAGCTCCTACATTGGAGGCTTTTGTCTACCTCCAAGGAGGTCTGACCCACCTTATTGGTGTTTTCCACAAAATAGGATTTCTCTGTACAGAAGAACTAAGAACTAAAGCAGCAGTTTGGGCAAACATCTGGGAATGTCTGTCTCCCTGGGCTCTGCCTGAAGTGTGATATCCGAATTATTTTTTGCAGGGCCTGGCATTTAAAGTCCTAGCAAAGAGTGACAAATCCAGCCCTCAGCAAATGGAAGCATACTGACTGCAGATCCAGACAGAGACAGCTGGGCTGGGGTGCCTCTGGCCCTCATCCCAGATATCCATTTGTGGGCTCATTGGATGCATCCCAAAGTGGGTGCTGCTCCTTGTAGACTCTCCTGTTGGGATGTGAACCTGAAATCAAGACTGACCCTGACATGTCTTAGTGTGTGAGCTTGCAGCACAGCCTCTTCAGCCGCAGAATTAGGGAGGCAAAACCTGTATATTAATTGACAGGACATTTCCAGAGCCTTGTGCTCTACAGTACTGCTAAAGCCACAGCCCTGGAGAGTCTAAGGGGAAACTGAGGCCAGGAGCAATTTGAAATGGAACATCTCAACTGGGTGTTGTCCTGGAGCTTAGATGTACAGTGCCCACACTTCCAATTCCAGGAGCTGTGTGGCTCTCTCAAGGATGCAAGTGAAGTCTGGCTTGTGCAGAGAATAAATCCTAGGGCTTCATATAATCCTCAAACTCATCAACAATTCCCATTGATTTCCAGAAATTTTGAATCCCTGTCAGGACCTAGCCCTGCCTGCTCTTCTCCTTTATCCTCACTGGGTGCTGGACAGAAGGAATTCTGACTTACCTGTTATCTGTCTCCTGGCAAGTTTTATTACCCCAAAGCCTCTACCTTGGGCTCAGCAGCTGGGGGCTGTGACCCTCACTAGCCAGACTGGATCACTGGTGGTGACCTTGTGATTTCTTGAGGCCAGTCCCTCTGGGGCCTTTGGCATCTGCTCAGCCTGGGGGATCCCTGGCACAGGGGAGGCCAATGCTTTTCCTGGCATCAACTAGGGCCTTTGGGATGTGCAAGTGGCATCAGGAAGCTGTGCTATTTACTGGAGAGGGGGCATCTCCTGGGTCTCAGGATTTGGCATCAGATCTGCATCCCTCTGGATGTCAGAGCTCACTGGCAGGGGACTTTGTGGCACTATACAGGACTGGCATGGCATTTTTATTGCTTCCCTGTGGAGACAACCTGACGTGCTCAGGGCAGATGAGCAAGCACTGCCCCACATCTCCTGTGTGACAAGGGGCAGGAGAAGAAGCTCAGGAATATCCTAAAGAAGGAGAAGGGCAGCTGCAGTCCTGTGGGACAAGAAGGCCCCCTGCCCGAGGGCAGCCTCCTGGCCCCGGCTGGCCCCAGCCCTCACTCCCTCCCTCCTCTCCCAGCTCCTCCTAACCACAAGGACTTTGGTTGATGGAGCTGGCGCCAGCGAGTTCCCTGAAGAGTTCAGAAGTCAAGAACTGAGGCAGGTACTGGGAGGGGGGGAAATCCGACCCCAGCGGGCAGGCAGGGCTGGGTGGTGGTGGGGGCAGGCTGGCTGGGCACCGGCCGGGCACGGGCCGAGGGACGGCTGTGGGTTGCTGCTGCCGCCCACTGTCTCCACAGCCTTCCCGTGTGCGGCTGTGGTGCTGAGTGTGGTGATAGTGACAGGTCTTGGGGGTACCACAGCAAGGCTGTGGCTTGGGTGAGGGTGGCAGGAGCCCACAAGGACTGCTGTGTGCGTGTCTGGGGGTGTCTGAATGCACAGGAACTGGGGTGTGTTACTGCCTATTATGGGAAATAGAGTTGTGAAGGTGTGAATGAGAACGTGTGTCAGAAGCTGCGTGTGTGCAAGGGCGTTGTAACTGTGAGTGTGTGGGATGTTTGAGTAAGTGCACAAACATAAGTGTGTGTGCAAAAGAATGTGTGGGACTGGGAGCATGGGTGCCTGTGAGCTCATGAGTGTGTTTGTGTGCAACGCTGGGAGTGTGAGGATGAGGATGGGATGATATAGCTGCTGTAAATGAGGAGGTGTACCTGAGTGCACAGGCACGATTTTCCATGCCTGCACCATTTGTTTTGTATGAGGGATATCCCAGAGCAGGCTGCCCTGTGGGGTCCCCACGGTCCCTTGTGGGCACTAAACCACGAGCACGCTGAAGACGTGAAGGGCAGCCTTTGCCCCAGCCAGGGAGGAGGGGGCCTGGAGGGCCCGTCCCAGCCCGTAGCGGGAGGAATACGGCCGGCAGAGCACCGGGCAAAGCCCTGACGCTGCGGCCGGGAGCGCGGGGTCGCGCAGTGCAGCGCCGGTCGGCAGCAGCGGGAGGCCGGGCTCAAGGAGCCGGCAGCGCCCGCTCCCATCGGCGGCTCTGCCCCCGGCCCGGCTGGGCGGAGCAGGCACCGACGGGCCAGGGCCACAAAAAGTTTTACAGAAATTGCAATAACGTCTTTCATTTTCGTGTTGTTTTACACTTTAAAAATAATTTAGTATCTTTTAATTTTTTTTTTTTAACGGGAACGCTCATCTCCCCGCGGACAGGAGCGGGAGGGGACGGCGGCAGCAGACGGTGGGGCCAGCAGTGGCGAGTGCCCCGTCAGCGGAGTCCGCTGCCCGCGGGGCGCAGCTGGGGCCTGCCATGGCCCCGGGGAAATGAGCCCCGCCGCGGTTCCCTGTGCTTCAGGAGCCCCTCGCCTTCTCCGATCACACCACTTCCATGGGTCCGGGCACTTGTGGGGTGCCCTTCTCAACGTCCCCGTGTCCTGCTCTGGAGTCTTGTGGTGGGAGAGCCGCCTCCTCCGCAGCTTTTTGAAAAGTGCTGACTTTTGAAATTGAGAACACCCTTCAGGAACAAAGGGGCACGGCGGGTTTAGGACCCCACAGAAGGGGATTCTCCGGCTTCAGCCCTCGCTCGGGATCAGCGGCAGCCCTTGGATATCGCAGCCTAGGCTTGATTCTCCTACGGGGGCCTGGCAGCCAAGATCCCCCTTCCCAGCAGTCCACGGCCACAAACTCCGAGACCAAACGACCCCGCTCTGCTGCCCAGTATCAGCTACTATTCCACCCCCCAGTGCCCTGCGCTCACCCAGGGCTCACTTTATAAGGCCAAGAAGGGCGGTGATTTTTTTTTTTTTTTTTTTTTTTTTTTTTTTTTTTGGTGGGGTGGGGGTGCGAGAGGGGGCTGGGGAAGAAGCAACTCCTCTTGTGTGCTCTTCTCTGCTGTCATTCACTGGGCTGCTCTCAGCATCCAACCAATGGAGAGTGAGGGCCTGCAGCAGTAGGCCCTGGGTAGGGTGATTGATGGGCAAGCGGGGCGGCGGGCGATCGCACTCACAATCCGCCGCGCTCCGCTCCGCGGGGCTCCCGGCTCCCCACCGCCCGCCGCGGCGAGGGGTCCCCGGGGCACCCTTGTGTGTGTGTGTGTCCGCGCGTACGTCTGTGTGTCCTGGGTGAGAGGCTCCTGACGTGTCTTGGTACCCGAGGGTGCTGGGTCTCATCGGAGCGGAGCCAGTGTGCGTGGCTGGGGTGTCGCATCTCCGCTCCTGGAAGCTGTCGGGCGTGTTTGGCGCGGTTGTGCCTCCAGTGTCTGTGTCCTGCGCCGCGCTGGGCACGGCTGTCGCGTCCCGGCCCGAGGGGGTGTTTCACTCTTGTACCTGGGCTGCGCATGGCTGTGCTGCTGTGTCTTCGTGCTGAGCGTGTGGCTGCCGTGTCCTGGCCTTGCGTGGCTCTGCCGTTTCTTGGGGTGCTCTGCCGTCGTGCTATGGGACTGAGCGCGTAGCCGGCGTTCCCCGGCTCTGCGCGGCCCCGTTGCCGGTTTCGGGGCGGTGCGGGGCTGCGCTGCCCTGCCCGGGGCGGAGGTCCGGCCCCGGTGCCCGAGCAGCGGCATGGAGCACCTCGGGGCTCACCATCTGCACCAAGGGCAAGCCGAGCCCATCAGCTTCGGCATCGACCAGATCCTCAACACGTCGGAGCCGGGCAGCTGCATGGTGTCGCACCCGCGGCTGCAGGACTCGGCGGACTACGGGCTGGGCTGCATCGTGGGCAGCGCCTATAACACGGTCACGGGTGGCTACGGGGCGAGCGGCGGCGCGGCCGGCGCCTACAGCGGCACCTCCTGCAGCATGGGCGGCCTGCCCGGCTCCTACAACGTGAACATGGCGGTGAGCATGAACGGCAACACCTTGAGCTCGGCCGGCGGGGTGATCCGCGTCCCGGCCCATCGTCCCGTGGCCGGCGGCGTCCACCAGCCCCTCTCCGCCGCCGTGCCGGCAGTGAACGGCATGAACAGCCTCACGGGGCTCACCTTCCCCTGGATGGAGAGCAACAGGCGATACACAAAAGACAGGTTCACAGGTGAGTTGTGCCACCGGGACCCCACTTCTGCCTCTGCTCCTGCCGCCCCGCTTCCTCCCCCGCCGCCCGGCCTCGGCACGACAACCGGTGCCCACGGGGGCAGGATCCAGCCGGGGATCTCTCCGGCCGGGTGGAGCAAGCAGCCGCGATAGTCCTGAGAAGTTGGTCCGGTAGCAGGCCAGAAGCAAGACGGGGTGGGAAATGAGGCGTATCCAGTCCCCCTTAAATGAGTTGTGTTTCCATTTGTTTGTTTGTTTTGATACTTTGGTTGGTTTGAGTGATTGTATATATGGGGTTTTTGTTATTGTTTTAGTTCCTTTTTATTTATTTAGTTATCAGTTTGCTGTAGTTTTTTACATTTTTTTTCCCGCGATATGGGTCGGCAAAGGCGAGCAAAGAGGAAAAGGGATGGTAAGCTCCGCACACGACCTCCCGCGAGCCCTGGGCACGGCTGCCCAATCTCTGCCGCCCGAGCCTACACCCGGGGAAACTTTCCTTCAAAACCGAGAGTTGTTTGGGAAGCACGGCCCGGCGGGCGGGAAGGCAGAAAGGCAGCCCCGGCCCCGGCCTGCCCGGGAAGGCCGTCCCGTTGCCTTCCCTTAACCGGGCTGGCTTTCTCCGGCTGCGAGTTTCGGCTCAGCCTTTTTCCCCACCAAAAGGGACCTTTTGCAGAGCGGGGCTCGGGCTAGAGCCGATTCCCGGCCTCGCCACTGTTTCCAGGTGTAGCTGGGCTCGTCTTTCGGCACTAACGGAGCAAAAACTCGAAAAGAAATAAATAAAAAAGACGCAAACAAACAAAAGGAACGAAATTACAACGGGGAAAATTTAGCGCCGCTCACCGAGGGCGGAAACCGAGGCCCGATTTTTGAAAGTTCCCCTTTAATTTCGAGCCGATGGCGCTGGGTTCGGGCACGGCCGCGGGTGGACGAATGGGCTCTTCCCTTGGCAAGCACCTGACCGAATTTTGCTCAATTTGTTCCTGGCTTAGACACAATGTGAATTTTCTTTTTTTTTT